GGAGAACTTGCAAAATCGCAGGGTGTTCAAATACTTCTGTTCCTCACTGTATACTGTTGATCAGAAAACTTATTTAGCAGTTTATTTTTACTAAATGAATTTCATTTCTTTTACTGGCAAGTTGCTGAATGGATAAAATGTTCTCCCTGCTCATTCTTGGAAGGACATTTGCCTGTTCATATGAGCTTGTAGGGCCATCCTTAAGTCACCCATAGACGATGCGATTTTCTTTCCTGCAACCACAGGTTGCAAGAAAGAAAATTGCTTGATTCCCTCATCAACACAGTCAATGTTGATGGGGGATTCCCTCCCGTGGAGCCATTGTGTTCTCTCGGCGAGGGGGTAAGGGGAACTGTCCCTGCTGAGGAAAACAGTTGTTATTGCTGGTGTCTATAGCTGTCGGCAGTAATTGCATCATAAAACTCAGACATGCTGGTTGTACCCAAGTCGATCCCTGCTGAACCTGCTGAGTTTCAAACTATCTATGACCCTCATAAGATATAAACAACTTAAAGTGATTGTAAAGTAATTTTTTTCCCTGCAGGAGCGAATTGGATCATGCTTTGCTGGGTGTTTTGCCTTCCTCTGGATCAAATGTGGGTGTAGGATTATAACTTTTTTTTTTTTTTTTTATATGGTTGAACTGGATGGACTTTTTTTCAGCCAGACTAACTATGTAAAGGTTCCTTTTTTTTTCCCCTTTTAAAATAACAAACATTGCTCTGTGCAATGGTTTAGAACAGAGCAGCCCCGATCCTCCTCTTCTCTGGTCCCACACTGTCGCTCCTGGTTCCTCCCTCCGCTGATTGCCCCCAGAGCAAACTGCTTGCTCTGGTGGCACTTGTGCATGCTCATGGGGCCCCCGGGCAATAGGGGATCATGGGGCCCCTGTGTCCTTGCCCAAACTCAAAAAAGCCTATGAAAACGGTACCAGGGGCATCTCATGGGGCCCCCTACTGACTCCGGCCCCTCAAGCAGTGCCCGAGTTTCCAAATGGTCAGTCCGCCCCTGCTCCTGAGCCATCTTTGTGTGTCCGCTCTTCCCTCATGGGCTGTGATTGACAGTAGCGGGAGCCAATGGCTTCCACTGTTGTGTCTTAGCCAATGAGGAGGCAGAAACCCAGCAGAGCGTCTGCTTCCATGCACATTGCTGGATCGACCTCAGGTGATAGGGTGGGCGGGCTGTGGGCGGAGCAGCATGGCTCACCTGTCAAGTGAAAGCGTTCGGGTGACTGCGGTGCCGCCCAATTTCTTTCACGTAGCCTACAGTTCCAGCCTCTGCCCCCCCCCCCCCCCCCCCCCGCCTACTATGTCTCCCAGGCTCCGCTTGCCCATCTGTGGGCCCAGGGCCAGTTCACCACCGTTGGCTGGAGAGGAGCGAGGAGAGTGGACACGTCTGCTACCCCCCCCCCCCCTTCTTGTCTAGACCCAGAAGTGACGTCACTTCTGAGTCCCTGTTGAAAGATTTCCTGGCTATCGAGGGAAATAATGTAATGCAGTGCAATTTCATATCTATAGCACCTCCTAGAAATATATTTACTGAGAAAAATATTGATGGGTTCAATACTTATTTTAGTGTGTGTGTCTCAAGAAGTACACCAGTTGAGGGCCTACGAATGTCCTACACCTAGAGTGTTTTCCTGCTAACCCTGTGCCCATATGTCTAGCTGCTGGAACCTGCCATCATTTTGACAGCTGAGGCCCTGCTTTTTGTATTTTGACTCTGATAGCAGAAACAGCTGTTCCTTTTCAATGGTTTGTCAGAATGTAAACACATATTGATGTATTGTAACAACTTGGGCTAGAGGAGCCAAGCACAGCTGACCTGGATTTGTTTAAGTTGTTGCTGAAGAGACCCCAAAGCTAAACATTTTTAGTTTCTTTTTCAAATAAGTATTTCTTAATTAACTCTATCAATCACCTGGTACCCCTGTCCCTAATAACCCCTCCCTGTCTCTGCTCTTCTTAGCTTTTTTTTTTTCTTTTCCATTTTTACTGTTTATACAATTTTTTTGTTTTACATTTTCCTCCTTTCATTTTCTTTGTTTTCTGTAGTGTAGAAGTAAAAAAAAAAGCCAGACTTTTTTTTTTTTTTTTTTTTTTAAATATCTATGCTTGTATGAAAGCATTATTTTATTGCCCAATTAAAAATAATTCCATAATAAATTTTAGCATTTAGTACTTGTAAAGATTGTAATATTTTCAAAAATATTTATGTCTCCACAATACGAAGGGGAAAAAAACCTGCTCTATATATATATATATATATATATATATATATATATATATATATATATATATATATATATATATATATATATAAAATTTTATTATCCCTTAACACAAGAACAATTTCCACAATGTTGACAAATCTGAGCTTTATAGAACATTTGTTTAGCTCGTTACATGAAAGTAAGGTTAGTAGGTTGTAACTTAAATTGCAATATCTTCAGTGTTACTCAGGTTAGTTGATGCAAAAATGAATACACCCCACAACAAGAATTACTACATCTAGTATTTTGTATGACCTCCATGATTTGTAAGGACAACCTCAAGTCTTTTAGGCATGGAACGCACAAGTTGGTGGCATATTGCAACATCGATCTTTTTTTCTATTTTTCAAGAACAACCTATTTTAGAGGCTGGATGGAGAGTGATGCTCAACTTGTCTCTTCCAAATAGGTGTTTCATTGGGTTCAGATCAGGAGACCTACTTGGCCACTGAATCACTTTCACTGTATTCTTCTTCAGACATGCAACAGTGGCCTTTACCGCTTTCCCGCTGCCCTATAACAGATATAATGCTACACGGCGGTAGGAGTGCGTAAAATCACGTGTATATATATGTGATTTTGCATTTCCAGGTAGGGGGTGTGCGCCTCCATTTGCGGCCGCAGCTGTTGATCACTGGGTCCCAGCCGGTGATTAACGAGCATCTCGGACGTGATTACCGAGCATCTCCCTGTCAGCTTGGGCACACTGCTCTAGATGGCTGTGCTGTGCAGAGCAGTGTGATTACAGTGAAGCACACAGACATCGCCCCCCAGTAAAACACTCCCTGCACACAGTTAACCCTTTGATTGTCCTACAGGTTAACCCCTTCCTGCCGAGTGCCATTAGTACAGTGTCAGGGCTTCTTTTAGCACTGATCACTGTATTGGTGTCATGGGATGTCAATGACACCAAGTCAGTTTCTTCCAGTGCCAGAATGTCCACCGCAGTCCCGATATAAGTTGCTGATCACTGCCATTACTAGTACAAAAAAAAAAAATCCAGTATATATACCGCCATTTGTAAAAGTTATAACCTTCACGTAAACCAATTAATTTACACTTATTGGGATTTTTTTTTTTTTAATCAAAAACATGCAGCAGAATACATTTTGGCCTAAATTTATGACTAAATTTTATTTTTTAATTTTTTTTTATTGTACATGTTTAATAGCAAAAAGTCAAAATATAATTTTTTTCTCAATTTGTGTTTTTTTTTTTTTTTTTTTTTTTTTTAGAGCGCAAACAGTAAAAAGCGCACAGGCAATCAAATACCACTGAAAGAGAGCTCAATTCATGGGAAAAAAGGACATAAATTTAATTTGGGTGCAGTGTTGCATTACCGCGCAATTGTCAGTTAAAGTAACGCAGCGGTGTAACTCAAAATGGCCTGGTCAGGATGGGGGGTAAATCCTCAGGAGGGCAAGTGGTTAATGTGTGTTTTGAATCATTGTCATGTTGGAAAAGTGCACGATGAATAAGGGCATGGTAGTTAGTATCTTCTCTTTCAATGTAGAGCAGTACATCTGTGAATTCAATGGAATGCAGCTTCCCGACACCAGCAGCACTCATGCAGCCCCACAGTAGGACACTGCCACCTCCATGCATTTCACTGTAGGCACCATGCGTTTTTCTTTGTACTCCTCACCTTTGCAATGCTATACAGTTTTGAAGCCATCAGTTCAAAAAACATTTATCTTGGTCTCATTACTCTAGAGTATAGAGTCCCAGAAGTCTCCTTTTTCAGCATGGGCCCTGGCAAATTCTAGAAAGGCTTTTTGTGCTTGGGCTTAGGAGAGGCGTCTTTCGTGGACGACACCCATGCATGCCATTCCTCTGCAGTGCACGCCGTTTTGTGTTACGGAAAACAATCACCCCAATTTTGCTTTCTACTTCTTTAGCTAACTGCAGTGAACTTGCATGGTGATTTTTCTTCAACCCTTCTCATCAGAGAACGCCCCTGTTGAGGTGTTAACTTCCGTGAATGACCTGGACGTATCTGTGAGATGGTTGCAGTTTCATCTTTGTTACAGTTTTGTATCACTTTTGCTCCAGTATTCTGACTGATAAGTAAATCTTTGCTGATCTTCTTGTAGCCTTCACCTTTCTTGTGTAAAGAAATCATTTTTTTTTTTTCTCAGGCCTTGGGACATTTCTCTTCCATGTGGTGCCATTGCTGACAGCTTAAAATGGGAAGGGGTTTTCTTTAAGTACCCCCCTTTAATAATCAACTGTCTGTTGGACACCTGTGTAATGAATAATTAGACTCACCTGTAGTTGATTTCTTGTTAATTAGGATTTTGTTGTCTAAAATTTAGCTTTGCTCCTAAGACTTTCATTGGGGTGTATTCATTTTTGCAACATGGTCTTGAATTAATTTGTTAGGAAATATACTTTTTAGTGTGTGCCGAATAACAAATCTTGTTTGCAATCAATGGTCTGCATTTGTGGGAGTATTTTGTAGTATAGTGTCCCATAGCAAATGTTGATTCTGAAAGGAAAGTAAAGGTTTTCTGACAATTCTGTTGGGGTGTTAATTTATGTTGAGCACTGTATTTATGTGTGTATGTATGTGTGTATCTATTTTATTTATTTTTTTGCATAGTGTGAGGAAAGTGTAGAATCTATGCCAGGTTTTGATTGGTTTATATTTTCATATTGACATTCTGTGAATAAAAGAGGAGGAGAGGGATGGAGAAGCAGAACTGATGGATATGTAATATATGTTCAGATGCCCTGACTGCCTTTGTGTTGAAAATAAGAACCGTGCCAAAAGAAAACGCTCCGACGTCTGGGGGAACTCGCCTGACCCCAATGATCTGAGAAGAAATGGTGACTGGCCTGTCGGATTAAAGAACATTGGAAATACTTGCTGGTTTAGTGCAGTAATTCAGGTACGCTTTACAACATTTACATTAAAATGTATAGACTGGAGATGGCACGCATTCATTTTCTATGCAGGTTTTTGTAATCTTTATATTTCGGGTCAGGGTAAAGAAATTATAAGTGTTCATTTTATGTATACTTTTATGTTGCTATGGCACAGTGCCTGCATATGTGAACTTTGCTAAAAGCTAAGTGTTTTATATGTTAAAAGTAATATGAAGGCTGAATTAATTGGCTTTTTTGGAATAAAAATGTCTTCAAGGCTCCTTCTAACAAGTTGTTGTGTTAGATCTTGACCTCTTAATGCAGGCACTACATCTCTGAGCTAGTTATTAAAAAAAATTAAATGTGAAGAGAAATTGTTGTCAATAGTTAGTTAAACTTGAACTTCAGGCAGTAAGTAAACAAACTCCCGTTAAAATGGAAGTGAACTCTCAAAGTGAGCGTTTGGCATGTTGTAAGAAACATTTAGAAATGTTAACGTGATACTAAAGGCTTGTTTCAAAAAAATAAAATAAAAAAAAGTCATGCTTACCTGCTCTGTGTAATGGTTTTGCACAGAGCTGCCCTGATCCTCCTCTTCTCAAATCCCTCACCGGCACTCCTAGCCTCTACCCCCTACTGAGTGCTGCCAAAGGAAGCCACTTGCTCTGGGGGCACTCTTGCTCCCAAGCCACCTCTGTGTGTCTGTAAAATATACAGAACAGGGCTGAGCCCTGCTCCCTCCTCATTGGCTGTGTTTGATAGCAGTGGGGGCCAGTGGCTCCCACTGCTGTATCTTAGCCAATGAGGAAAGAGAGACCTGGGAGAGCCGAGGCTCTTGCACAGCACTGAATCGAGATGGGGCTCAGGTAAGTATTAGGGGAGGTCTGTGAGGGGAGCTGCACACTGAAGGTTTTTTACCTGCATGAAGGTAGATCACCTTCAACCTTTACAACCACTTTAACTGCCCAAGCAATACCATGAAAAATGTACCGTTTTGTCTGGAATTCCTCTTGAGTAGCCAAGGTTTTAAACAAAGGCCTGCAAAAGTCTGCTTGCCTTTCCTGCTGTCTGCACTGCCGAACTCTGCTTTGATGCTGAAAATGTTCGTCCTGTCAATTTCCAGCCATTCGAGGATATAGTAGTGACGTGGGGAGTTGCAGGGTACCCAGCAGAGCAACCCTTCGGAAGTTTTGGTTTCAGTTCAGACAGCGTAGGCAGCAGGAAAAATAGGTCTTGAATATAGCGACGGGATCATTTTAAAAGGTTGACCGACATTGTACAAATTTTTTTCCAAAATAGTCTCCACTGGGTCCTCTTCTTTCCACAGATGCATGTGGCAGCCTGATTCATTTCTTTGGGAAGCCATACTTATGGCAGCATCCAGCGGACCTGCAGAGTAATGCAGGCCATAGATGGGGAGAAAAACGGCAGAGTAACGAAATCGGTCGGTCTAAAAAACTTACCTGACCACCAATTATTACGAAAATCGGCCGATTAATGAGTAACCTATAACGGGATGATGTCATTTTGTGGCCTTTGTGATCCTTTTTCGGAAAACGATCGTTCGTTTTTGACCATCAATGAGGATAAAGTCGGGCGTTTTTTCGAAAATTTTCCAACATCACCGATAATCTGAAAGTCCAAAATACACGAAAAACGGCCGACAAAATCGTCCACTAACGATAAGATAATCGGCCGGTTTTATGGACGAAAAATCGGCCGTTTTTCTCCCCATCTATGGCCTGCATTAGGCTCTCCCCAAGGAAATGAATGAGACCAGGCAGCACATGCAGAAGAGGCCATGGGTATAGCAGCACAGGGAAGATGGCTGGAACGAGCTGCTAAGGTAGGTGCTAGATTGGGTTATCAGCACACCATGGGTTAGGGGAAAATATTTAAGTGAGGGTAGTACCAAATGCACAGTTGTCCTTTCATAAAAAAAAAAAAATTAAAACCGGACCCCTCTGGTATGCAGAGAATTAGAAATTGTAATATACAAATCATTCAGGTTATTTTTTGGCAGTATTTGTGCTGGCCTGGCATTTTCAGGCCTCAAGAAATGAAATTGGACGTCAGTACATCAGGATTGATCAATTTTCAGATATATATTACATTGTTTAACTCTATAACCTTTCTACCAACTAAATAATAAACACTGATTTGAGTTATTTTTACAAAAGAAATGTAGCAGGATACATTTTGGCTTAAATTTATGAAGAAATATCTTTTTTTGCAAAATGTTATAACAAAAACAAGGAAACATTTTTTTTTTTTCCCAAAATGTTCTGCGTTTTTGTTGTTCAGCAAAAAAATAAAAATCCAGCTGTGATTAAATACCACCGAAAGAAAGGTATACTTGTGTGAAAAAAAATGATAAAAATGTAATATGGGTACAGTGTTACATGACAGCGCAGTTTGTAATCAAAGTGCAACAGCGCTGAAAGCTGAAAATTGGCCTGGGCAGGAAGGGGGTTTTGAATAAATGTCACTGGACTAAATGGTGTTTTGTTGTTTTGTATTTTTTTGTTTTGTATTTTTTTTTTTTTTTTTTTTTTTTTTTTTTGTTTTTGTTTTTTTTTTTTTTGTTTTTAGAATATTTCTTGAAATTCTGCTTTTAGAAATAAATCTGTTTTGTAATAGATGTGGTAGTGTACTATCACATTACCATCTCTGCAGCTGCCTTCTGCTGTGTGATGGCTTTGATTGTTAAGAGATCAGCTCCTTGTCTACAGTTCTGAAACCATTACTGATCCCTTAAAAATGTATGACTCTGTTAATTGCTAATTATGTTACTTTGTCGGAGCGGGACATTAAGTGAAGAAAAGCAACAAACATTTAAAGTTTAGGTTCTGCGCTATTTTTCTAATCCCTCAGAGATTGGATTTTTAACACAAAAGGCCAGTTCTGACTGTTCAATTGTGTTTACACTACTTGATTGCAAAATGGAATACAGAGCGAACGCCAGCGTGCGTGTGGGTGCTGAATGACTCTGGATTGGCACTGAGCTTTCCAGTTTCCTTTTAATTTGAGAGCCTGACTTTAGCCGGTTGGTTGGTGTTAGTGGCACTCAATTAAAATCAAGCATTTTACTAGGATTCCTGGGTGAGTGTGATGAGAATAAGCCATAGATAGAAATACGGTCTGCTGTTTCTTGCTGTTTATTAGAATGACTCACAGATAGAAATAACCCCTTCGCTTTGATTGGTTCCCAGCTGAGTATTCCACAGAGTTGCTTTTCAGAGCTGTGATAATGTGGAAACCTAAACTACCAATTAAAGCTAACACTTGTTTTCTTTATTTAAAATAGTGAGGTTTACTTAAAGCCTGATCAGCAAGTGAACTCTGATGCTTGGATCGCATGTTATACAGCTAAAGACCTAACAGTTAAAGCTGAACTCCAGGCTGATATAAAAAAGACACGAATGATATAAGCACTCTGCTTATTATTAAATCAATATATTTATTCTTTCACATCCATTGGGGGACACATGAATTCAGGTACAGCTGGGTTACATTTGTCGCCTACAGGAAGTTGGACACTGCAAAACAGAAAAATTGTAAGCCAGCCATCATATGAATCCTCCTTTATCCAGCATGCCTCAATTTTTTTTTTTTTTGCTTTTCGGGGAAGTTGAACGCCCTTTCTTCAGCTCTATTGAGAAGAGTCTAACTACTTTTTGCTAGTTTTTTCTTTTCTGTGTGGATTTTTCCTGTGACTTCAGTCAAGGTTTCTTGCTGCGGTACTGCTTGAGCTGGGCTGTACCTAGCAGCTATCCAGATCACCATTTGCTCAACCTAGCTTTGGAGGCTGTATCTGGATTCCTCTGGACTGGATGTGAGAGACCTGCGTGGAATGTGACTTTCAGACTCGGGGCTTTTCATTGTAGCCCTTTCCAGACCTGAGTGTAATGTGTCTATCTTAAGCCAGCCATAGCTTGAATCTCAGCCGGTTCAGCAGGGACTGACCTACATTCAACGCATCTATGGGCAGGCTGATTTGTACCCAAGTTGATCCGTCGATGACCTTGGGTACAACCAGCATGTCCGATTTATACATGCTATTATTGCCAGTGGTATTGCCACTAGCAATAATCACTGTGTTTCTCCTGGCAGGGATGGCTCCCCCACCCCCCCCTCCCCCACTGGTAGAACATAGTAGCTCCGCTGGAGGGTTTCCCCCATCAACACAGTCAGTGTTGATGGGGGAATCAAGTGATTTTCTGTCCTGCAACCATGGAAAATCTATATAATCTATGGCCTGCCTTAGCTGCAGGAACACTTTCCAGGTTCACAGCTGTGCTTCATCTCTGTAGACGCACTTTTTGAGTAAGGCTGGTAAAGGAGAACTAAAGGCAATTTTTTTTCTCATTTAAGATTGAGTAAGGAAAGGTGTTTTGTTTTTTTTTTTTGGGGTTTTTTTTTGCCATGTGTGTCCCATTCCCTTCACTTTCTGTCTCGTAGCTAAAACAAGAAGTAATAGAGAAATCTCCTAGGATTCTTTGGAGAGATTTCCTATTATTTTCTGGGTACAACCCAAAAATGTGGTGGCTTTTTTTTTCCACTTTAAATCTCCCTAACGGGGGCACAAACGGCAGTAGAAACCTGACATGTTCTAATCTCTCTCAACGCTGTCCAAATCTAAAAATAAAAACTGATGTAAACCGTGTGGAACAAATTCCCAACATCACTGATTTTACCATCATAAGGACTTGCTGAGCTCTGATGTCATCTGCTGAATAAAGCATCACACACACTCCGAACCCTTTACTGCTATTCAGCTTGGAGGAAGCACCATCATGTTGGTGCTCCTGCTTGTGAAGGATCCTCCAGTATCTGGTTTGTTTCCACTTCCTGCCTACAGTGATCTGGTTAGTTCTTCTGCCAAGGTGATCCTAGCCCATACTCCCCCCAGTGGCGCAGTGGAGGAGGGGAGGTAAACTTGGTATTCTCAGAACCATTGCCTGTCATCTTGAATCAGGGAGCCCTACTGCTATAGGGTCAACATCAGTCTTTTTCAGCATTGGGTGAGGAAGAGTCCCCTCCGATGTCCACATGGAGATCCATGTCCATTTAGGACTTTTTGGTTGTGTGTGCTCAGTTATTGGGAAACTCTGCCCGTAAAGGCTGTAAGTGTGTTCCAGCATCCACCCTTGCTGAGTCTTTGACCTTTCAGAGCCCTTAGATCAGGCTGGGTCTTTGATCCCTGTCACCATCTCTAACTCAGCAGTCTTTTTTTGAAGAAGCTGTTTTTGAGTCTTTGGATGGGTGGGGGGTTTGTTGTTTTTTTTTTTTTGGTGTTTTTGAGGTACCTCAGTCTCCTTCCATCACTTCAGATTTACAGGGGGTCATTTCAGACCACCTTGATGCACTATGTTCTACCCTGCACTAGGAGGATCATACAGCTATTCCAGGCCTTAGGCCTTTTAGGGCTCCTACAGCTGCAAAGGTCTTTATACTACATCTGCTTTTTGAAGCATTCCTTTCTGCAAGCTCCCTGAATGGTCCTTGACTCTATCTGAGAGTGTTCCTGAACTTTTCCCTTTGTTCCCCCTGTTGACATACCGATGACTCGCCTTAGCAGGGAGACCACTAAACAGTTTAAATGTGTTCTAACACTGACACACAGCTAGAGTTCCTTCTTAAATACCAGTTTGAATTGTGACTTCTTTTGCCCTCTATCTTCTGTTGGCGACATTATTAAATCAAGCCATGTCAGAATGGGTTGATCCCCTTAAAAGGGCTCTCCCCCCCATTTCATGGATTAGATGGAGAAAATGTTTAGATCCTTGTGTTTTGTGTTCTGATGACTTGTTGCAAGCATTTAAACTTTTCTCATATGGTTTTTATGTCTGTGTAGATGCACAGAGCATTCTGGCTGCATAGCTGGGTCATTGATGCTCCATCCACAGAGTATATAACTTAGACTGACATTGTCTTGACACCATGATCAGCAATGCCACGGTCATCCAGAATGTGCTCCTGCCTCAACATAGGTGGCCTGCAGTGGGATTTTCATCTACTTCTGCTGCTATACAAATTAATTCAACCTTAAACCTCTTGCCTCTTTCCAAATCAGGGGCTTGGATATTGGCGCTGTACCCTATCCAGGCACTCCCTCTATGCCTCTGGAGAACCCTCTGTCCTTTGGTCCTGTTAAGCCTCTCATACTACACAGTACACCTCAGCATCTGTTCTCCCCAGAAGGACTTCTGACCTGCACAGTCATCGGGTCCAGTCCTGGCTCTCCCCAATCTACTGTAAATTAGGTTTTCGCGCCTCCATCTGTTGGATACATCTGCTACTTCTCAGAGCATTGGCCATTATGTTCATCATAGTGCCCTTCCTGGCTTCTCTATTGTGGGTTGATCAGATGACTTCCTCTGAAAAGTCCACTTTTTCAGACCCCTGTAGTCAGCTTTCTTATAAAGGGTATAACCTTGCAATATTCAATCAGATAGGGCCTCGTAGCTTTCTGTGATTGGCAGTTACCTGTCAAGAGCAGGTGAAGCTATTCAGCCTAAATCCTCACTAACAAGGTATACACCCTGTGTGCCATTGGATCCCTTACCAACTCTTGAGTTCATTCCTTCCTCTCTGTTATGGGTGTGTTGGGGAACCCCCTCTTCGGATGGTCTTCCTCCTCTCATTTGCTCTCGGTCCTCTCGGCCCCCAACACCTCTCTATTGCTATGGACTTGCTCTCTGAGTGAGACAACCAGATTTATGGACCAGGTAGTGCCTCACGTTACCCATCTTTCTCTTCAGGTTGTTTTACTCATGCCCTAGGGGGAATCCTGTTGCTCGTGTGTGTGCATACCCGGAGCTTCACTCTGGGTCTTTAAAACAGATGGTTTTCTCCTCATCAGTGGACCCCACTCTTTTGTCTGCTTCTTGGGTTAGACTCCTTTTGAACAATCATCTAGGTGTTTGTCTATTGGGAAGTATTGGGGGTCTTATTGTGACAAGACAAGTAGCCTGGTACCTACGCTGGCAGACACTAAATGTACTACTTCTTGACTGCACGATTACCTCCAGGGGACGATGCATAGAAATCTAGCTTGCTTCACCTGGTAGTCTCTGCACTGAAGGGAGAGGGTTTGCACACCTGGGTGTTCCTCATGTCCTTTGTGGAAGGTAAAAAATTATTGGGAGGGGGCTCAGTGTGCCTTCCTGGTTTGTCAGCATGTGGAACACACTGCTTCCTGCTGCAGGTAACCCACTGCTGGTTGTAATGTATGCCTGGAGGCCTTCATGTGACATGATTTGCCTGGATATAGGTCCTGCTTCTGTGGCTTTTTGTGCAGCCTCTTTAACATTCTCCAGATATCTTCTTCTGCCCTTAATTTGGTGAATATTACTACCATTGAGTCTAAGATTACAGTATCTGCTCCATGCTTGGCTGGGAGGATCCCGTAGATTCTCACTCCCATGTACTGCTTGCAGGGCTAGGCTTGTCCTGCAGGACTCTTCAGTGAGGCCCCAGGGACACCTCCAGGTATTTGAAGTAGATTTTTTTTTTTTTTAATTCTCATTTCCTTCTGGTGGGTTCTTTTACTAGTCTGGGGTTAGTGTCATCAGCAGCATGTAATTCACCTTTAAATTTCCCATATACCAGATGTAGCATTAGGTAGCTACTCACGTTAAGTTGTTAATTACCATCCCTGTTCATGTTTCTTTCCTTTTGCTGAATCTGAGGAATTGGTATCTCTGATATGAAAAGGGCAATATGTCAATCTTAAACTTGGGATCCTTAGTCCTTCTTCTTTTTTTTTTTTTTTTTTTTTTTAAGCATGGTTACTTATTTTATCCTTTCCTTTCAGTCACTCTTCCACCTGCCAGAATTTAGAAGATTGGTCCATAGTTACAGTATTTCCCAAAGCATGCTGGAGAGATGTCAAAACAGAAGTGTAAGTACTTGATTTGTGCTGGATTATAAACAAGCAAAAAGACAGTTTTGTATTTACTGAGGAGTAGGAGAAGTTTACTATTGCTTTCCATTATTAGCATGCATAGCACTGTGTCTGAATGGTTAAAGTTAACTTCCAGGAATGTGACAAAAACAACCCTTGCAGTTGGGCCACCCCACATTGAAAGGGTTAAATGTTCCTACAGTCTAGGGGTACACAGATAAGGATACTTATAGTCTATCCTGCTCCTGGCTCCAGCAGATTTCCTCAAACCATGTGATTGATCCCCCACAGCTACCTCTTTTGGGGTGCTCTGGATTGCAGTTGCATGCTCTCCCCCACCATGAACAATGCAGGGTTATTAGCCCTGAATTGCAAGTGATGATGCTGAGGCCCTGCCTACAGACCACAACTTTATGGAGGGGAGGAGAGCCCTGGAGCTGGCTGGAGTGATGAGTCGGGTAAGTAATAATGCCAGTTCAGCTCCCGCTAGACTAAATGAGCATTTAACCTCAGCGGTGAAGGGGGGGGGCAGCACTGCAAGAATTCTATTGGTCACATTTCCAGAGTTTAGCTTTTTTAAAAAAAGAAAAATGGTTATCGGCTAGAGGCTGCAGGATCAGAAACATGCTACATGTTCTACCCTAAAAACAGGTGGTACCTGTAACATGTTCCAAAGGCGAACTTGCCCTTTAGAACTAAATATTGTATGCAAAAACCATTCACACGGATGATCCATTCTCAGATTTTTTTTTTTTTTTTTTCTTTGTAATTATTTTTAAGGTGAGGTACATATTCTTTCTTTATTCCTTAGTACAGTGACTGGTGTAAGGACAATCTGTAACCCTGTCAGGGTACTTAAGCAATTGCAGCCAATAAACATTCATTAACCATTAGGACAACTTTTTTCTTTTTGCTGAACAGCTGCATCTAGTCTGCATGTAAATGTGGAAACCTAGATTTAAAAACGTGTGAAATAAATAAATACACGATATTAATATATTGAATACTATTAATATGTAGAAAAAGAAACATGGGACTTAAAAGGTATCACATAATCATATTATAGTGCATTAATTGTAATGTACAGCGCTGAGCGAACTGTTGGCGCTTTATAAATACTGTATAATAAATGTACAAAAAATTAAAAAGGTACACTGAATAATCTTGGTCGCACATCAAATATACTGTATGCACCATTACCTCCTCATCTTCCTACCAGGTTTTGAGATTATTACCATCATGTTTAACGTTATAATATATAAGCTTTAAAGTAATCTTGTGTAAAATCTCACTTCTGATTGAAAACAGTATTGTAAAGGCTATGCTTTAACCCTTTATCTACTAATGTATGGTTATAAACAGCACAGTATACAAGGGTTAAAGCAAGCTCATTGCTGTCAAAGGGCTTTTCTAATAAAAGTGATCAGGTAGCTCTAAATCCACCTGATCACTTTTATGAAATATACATCACATCCCATCCCCCCATTAATAAAATGACTAGCTTTTTAAATACCCATAATCACATAAAAAGATCATTCCTAGCGCCATACGTTTAACATTTATATCGATTGACTTTTCTTTAATCGGATTTTCCGTCCAGACCATTCAGAATCATTTAAATGAAATCGATTTAATAATGCAGTATGTGTCTTTTTTTGATAATTCATAGATTCAGGGTACATCACAATGCAACGGCTTTTTTTCTATAAAGAACTTTGAGATGTATGTGTGACATTTCCATAAAGTTTAATTAGCTGCCGCACAATGCAAGGCAGTGGATTTCCTTGCACTGTGCTTGAAAAAAAATACAGCCTAGTGTACTTTTTTTTTTTTTTTCACTGCACACCACCGCAACGCAGTGGCATAAACCTGGCACATAAGAAATCAAGGCATTTTGCCCTGTCATGCAGTGGGACTGTGTTGGAACAGCCACCCAACGCAGTCCCAGCACATCTGGTGTGATTATACCCAATCATATTATCCGATTTTGTGAAGAATCATTCAATCAGAATATTACATGTATGGCCACCATTAGATTGTGCACGCAGACATTAAACCATTTGTAGAATGGGGCCCCTGTTTTTTATTCTTTATTGAATATTAGTGGTTACAACATTTGTCTGTCATGTCTAACCCTGAGGTTGAATGTTGCATGTTTTTTCCAGGAGAAGAGAAACATTGCTTTTATGCAAGAACTTCAGTGTTTGTTTGCTCTCATGGTTGGATCCAACAGAAAGTTTGTTGATCCGTCTGCTGCTGTTGAGCTGTTGAAAGATGCTTTTCTGTCTGAAGAAGCACAACAGGTAAAGAACGGTCAGACAGTGTTTTGTTTAGATATTCTGATTGCAATTCCTTTTCCAGAACACATTATGACAGTATGATGTGACATATAGCCCTTGCCTTAGCATTTGTCCCTCCAATGGTGCCTGAAGCACTGACCAGTGTTTCCATGTCCTCTTAGTGAAGAATAAGCATGCCTCCATCCCACAATACAATGCACAGTGCCTGAGCAATCTATTGCCAGCACTTACAGTGCGACATTGTAGAAGAGGGACTTGTGCCAGTGTGATGGAGAAACAAATAGTCAAGCAAGAGGTATGGTCTTACTGCTTATAGGTTAGTTTAAACTGGACTAGTCAGTAAAGACCCATTCACACGGGGCAGGCCCTGTTTGGATCAGCAGAGAATCCGCTCAGAGGTCCACTGCTGATCAGAACACAGTGGGTGGATGACAGGTCTGTATCCGTTCAGTTTATGCAGAGCAGATGAATGTTGCTGTCCGTTTACACCCAACTTCTCTACAGTTCGATACATCTAGATGGGGGGAACTAATCCCCTCCGGATATCTCCTCGGGTTGGAGGTAGGTGGGTGTAAATGGATACAAATCCTTTTTCACCCGCTAGTCCATGGAAATACATGGACCATCCGATCAGATCTGCCTGAAAAACCGACAGATCGTCCGTGTGAAAAGGCCCTAACTTTAGAAATGTCACAACATCAAAAATCTGCTCCTGCTATAATTGAAATGAAACTGAACTCAAAGTGAAATGATTTGATATGTTATAGAAAACATTAAAAACTATTAATTGTGATTAAGAAATACGTCTGGAAAATCTATCTTTTTTGTTTCCAATTCTTCCTGAGAAATAGCAGTGTACTTTCTGGTGTGTGAGGGTGCCTAGGAACGCTGAGGACTCATAGCTGTGTGTCTGCAGTGTGAGATATAAGGATCTGCTGTCTTTATCTGCTATTCTTACAAGATTTATAGTGGGAATTGGTCTGGTCACTACCATGCTTCCCACTGTTCTCCTTGCTGGAGGCTCTGGCATGAGGAAGCAAAACCCTGCATCTAAAAAGATGGTGCTTTCACACAGACACAGTGCAGAGTAATGCAACTCAGTAATTTTGAAAGATCAAATATAGGGAGACCATACTGGTGACTCATCCTATGTACTCTGTCTGCCTTTTTTGGTGTGCAGCTTACAGGGTTCAGTTTTTTTTTGAACCTATATTTCTGTGACCTTGCCTGGCTGAGATGATGTTGCCAGTCTGCTACGGGTAGAAAGAAGCAAAAAAAAAAAAAAAAAAAAAATCACAAAATGCCCTGGAAGAACACATCAATTGCAGCACACAGAGGTGTGAACCTAGATTTACAGGGGTTCTCCAAGCTTTCTAAACAAAGGGCCAGTTTTTACTGTCCTTCAGACAATAGGGCGGCTGGATTGTGGCCATTGGGGGTAGAAATGTCCGGTATTGAGTGGGAATAAACAATGCCTCTGGCTTGGTGGACAGTGCGAGTAAATAAATTCATAATGCCTCTGGTCAGTGGGAAGGAGGATAGTGCTCCATCATTGGTATCGGGAGGAATAGTGTCCCATCATTGGTGTCAGTGGGAGGAGTAGTGTCCCATCATTGGTGTCAGTGGGAGGAGTAGTGTCCCATCATTGGTATCAGTGGGAGGAATAGTGTCCCATCATTGGTATCAGTGGGAGGAATAGTGTCCCATCATTGGTGTCAGTGGGAGGAATAGTGTCCCATCATTGGTGTCAGTGGGAGGAATAGTGTCCCATCATTGGTGTCAGTGGGAGGAATAGTGTCCCATCATTGGTGTCAGTGGGAGGAATAGTGTCCCATCGTTGATATCAGTGGGTGGAGCAGTGTCCCATTGTTGGTATCAGTGGGTGGAGCAGTGTCCCATTGTTGGTATCAGTGGGTGGTGCAGTGTCCCATTGTTGGTATCAGTGGGTGGTGCAGTGTCCCATTGTTGGTATCAGTGGGAGGAGCAGTGTCCCATTGTTGGTATCATTGTTGGTGAGGTGTCCCATTGTTGGTATCACGTTGGTATCAGTGGATAGTGCCCCATCGTTGGTATCAGTGGGGAGGCTTCATAGAGTAGTGCCCCATCGTTGGTATCAGTGGGAGGAGTATGCCCCCATCGCTTGGTAATCAGGGGTGGGAGGTGTAGTGCCCCATCGGTGTGTATCAGTGGGAGGAGTAGTGCCCCATCGGTTGGTATCAGTGGGGAGGAGTAGTGTCCCAATCGTTGGTATCAAGTCAGCCGGGTGGAGTTGTGTCCCATTGATAGTATCAGTGGGTGGAGTGGGTGGAGTAGTGTCCCATTGTTGGTATCAGTGGGTGGAGTAGTGTCCCATTGTTGGTATCAGTGGGTGGAGTAGTGTCCCATTGTTGGTATCAGTGGGTGGAGTAGTGTCCCATTGTTGGTAGCAGTGGGTGGAGTAGTGTCCCCATTGTTGGTATCAGTGGGTGGAGTAGTGTCCCATTGTTGGTATCCAGTGGGTGGAGTAGTGTCCCATTGTTGGTAATCAGTGGAGGAGCAGTGTCCCATTGTTGGTATCAGTGGAGGAGTAGTGTCCCATTGTTGGTATCAGTGGGAGGAGTAGTGCCCCATCGTTGTATCAGTGGAAGGTAGATGCCCCATCGTTTGGTATCAGTGGTGAGGAGTATAGTGCCCCATCGTTGGTATCAGTGGGAGGAGTAGTTGCCCCAGTCGTTGGTATCAGTGGGAGGAGTAGTGCCCCATCGTTGGTATCAGTGCGGTGGGAGTAGTGTCCCATCGTTGGTATCAGCCGGGTGGAGTAGTGTCCCATTCGATGGTATCAGTGGGTGGAGTAGTGTCCCATTGTTGGTATCAGTGGGGAGGAGTAGTGTCCCATTGTTGGTATCAGGTGGGGTGGAGTAGTGTCCCATTGTTGGTATCAGTGGGTGGAGTAGTGTCCCATTGTTTGGTATCAGTGGGTGGAGTAGTGTCCCATTGTTGGTATCAGTGGTGGAGTAGTGTCCCATTGTTGGTATCAGTGGGTGGAGTAAAGTGTCCCATTGTTGGTATCAGTGGGAGGAGTAGTGTCCCACTGTTGGTATCAGTGGGGAGGAGTGTAGTGTCCCACTGTTGGTATCAGTGGAGGAGTAGTGTCCCACTGTTGGTATCAGTGGGAGGAGTAGTGTCCCACTGTTTTGGTATCAGTGGGAGGAGTAGTGTCCCATGTTGGTATCAGTGGGAGGAGTAGTGTCCCACTGTTGGTATCAGTGGGGTGGAGTAGTGTCCCACTGTTGGTATCAGTGGGTGGAGTAGTGTCCCACTTGTTGGTATCAGTGGGTGGAGTAGTGTCCCATTGTTGGTATCAGTGGGTGGAGTAGTGTCCCATTGTTGGTATCAGTGGGTGGAGTAGTGTCCCATCGTTGGTATCAGTGGGAGGAGTAGTGATATGTGTCATCTGACTCAGCAACTCAGTCTAGGAAGTAGATTCTAACCCTGGATGATGACTGAAATAAAGATATCTCCGTTCTAGAGAGAAAAGCAGGTGAAAGCACTTTTATGGAAAGTACTGTGATCTCTGTGAGAGATATAATAAATAAGTGTTAAGCTAGGTGTACACGGGTAGAATTTCATTCAATATTTTTTGAACATTCATTAGTTTTTCTAATCATTAATTTGGGGTAAAACGACATTACCTATCAGCCGCAGTGATGTAAAAATTTAAAGGGGCAGGATTGAAAATTTTTCTAGAATGTCCCAAATTTCTAACAGTGTATGTGGATTTGTTCGGTAAAGTCCATTCATTGCAAAATCAGATGTTAAAAGTGAACAAAAGCTTTTGATCGACATTCCCCAGCAAGAATAGATTGCCCAGCAGCCAGCATCAGTAGACCCTCCAGCACCCTTTACATACATTCAGTGCCGGAGGTGCCGTAATAGTGTTCCCCACGTTCCTGCTGAAAAATCCCTGTATTTAACATCAAACATATCGATCAAAGGTCTACTTTAAGAATTTTATTGTTCCGAGAGCTTCACTTTTAATTACATTGTTCATCGCCTTGTCCCTCCTTCATAACAAAGCTATGCAGAAAGTTTCCATTCTTGGTCCCTGAGTGGTTCACTTTGCAGTAGCTCTAGCCTTGTTGATAAGGACCGTTCATACCACATCATAAGTAAATACTGACATTTCTTTGTATTTCAGTCTATGAGCCTGTTTACTGATGGCACTTAGAAAGTACTTGGAATCTCCCTAGGTTTTTTTTCCCCCTTTGGTAATGCAACATCACTCAAAGCGCTTTCACAGTAGCATTGTGTATTCCTGCTCAGGCATGTGAGGTTAATGGTGTTATTCCAGGCGGCCTTGAGACATCTGTTTTCTCCTAACTTCCTATTAGAAGTCTGAGTCAGCAGTTGTTGGGAGAGCACGTCTGCGTCACATGACAATAAATACTTTTGACTTCACGGTTGTTCTTGATGGAAAAATAAATGAATGCGTTTAGTTTGAGTGTTCTAATGTCACAGCTTTAAATGTATCTGGGACTAATTCTGCATTTCTGCTTGCTAGCAAGATGTCTGTGAGTTTACACATAAACTGCTGGATTGGCTGGAGGACGCTTTTCAACTAGCTGTTTGCAGAGAGTAAGTTTATTATTTATTTATTTATTTCAGGTACTTGTATAGCACCGTCAATTTACGCAGCACTTTACATATATATTGTACATTCACATCAGTCCCTAACCCTCAAGGGGCGTACAATCTAAGGTCCCTAACTCACATTCATACATACACATACTAGGGACAATTTAGACAGGATCCAATTAACCTACCAGCATGTCTTTGGAGTGTGGGAGGAAACCCGCGCAGGCACAGGGAGAATATGCAAACTCCAGGCAGGAGGTGCCGTGGCTGGGATTTGAACCAACGACCCGAGTACTGCCAGGCGGAAGTGCTAACCATTT